TAGCAAGTCCTCACACTTTCTGCGATCTCAATTTTTTCCCTCCATCAGGAGGGAGGCAGGAGGCCCATTATAATTAGTGGGGTAAAATGGTAGAGCCGACCTGGAAATTTAATAAAGACTAAAAGTGCTTGCTATGTCCATAATTGACTATAATTGACTATTGATGGTTTTAAAACTGACTCCCCGTTCAACGGAGCGTGGATGTGTATGGAACAACTGGGAAAAGACGGTGACCTTGAGCAAATAATGACAAAGTCTAGGCGTGTGGCCAAGGGATACTGGCGACTCTCCAGCACTGGGCAGTGAACCAGAACTGGGCTTAAACCATGACACTGAGATAATAGAGTCTGGGAAGTCAGCCAGATGGGAAAAAACAATAAATAAAAGAGACAATAGTAAAATTGGTTAGAATTTGTATAAAGCTCAGAGAACAATCAGCAAAATGACATCTGTTAAAACTGTTCACACTGCTAAGACTACACAATCTTCACCAGGGACAGGGGGGGTGACTGTTAGTAAATTAGCACTTCCAGTGCAAAAAGAAATGCAAAGCATGGTCATCGAAGCAGTGGATCCAATCAAAGCTCAGATGGACCAAACTTTAAGACAAATAACACAAATAACTAATTTACAAATAGTATGCAACCCATTTAAAAACAGGTGGCGGAAAACTCAAAGGACATAGCAGAGCTGAAGAAAAACAATGAGAAGACAAAGAAGAAGATTAAAGAGGTGGAACAGGACACAAGAAGGATGGAAGATAAACAACGGGAATATGAACAAGAGCTAATACGATTACAGGTGGAAAAATGTGTTACGATTCCAGAACATTCCAGAGGGAAAAGATGACTTGTCAGGGAAGATGGCCAAAGTACTGGCAGACCATATGGACATGGAAAAAGATGAAGTGGAAAAAGAGTTTGATCAAGCATTTAGAATGAATTCAGCCTATGCAAGACGGATGAAAGTTCCACAGGAAATACAAGTACGCTTCTATAAGAGGACGGTAAGGGACAAAGTACTGAGGGAAGTAAATGCGAAACCATTAATGAAAGATGAAACCGAAATAAAAGTCCTGAAGTAAATTCCCTGGAGGATTAGGGAAAAAAGAAGAGAATATGCTAAATTAACATGGTTACTGAAGAAAAATGACATTCAATACAGAAGATACATTCTTGCACTTAACTATTTCAGCTTGTCTTATGTACAATGATTCATTCATCATGCTAAATGGCATAGGATCAATTTGCATGCTATTTCATGTATTCTCTATGTGGGCTTTCAGAAGATGTCTCCTGCAAGTCCCCTGCTTGGAACTTTATTCCTCAGGTACACATAGGCCCAATATGGATCAAAACTGTGGTGTGTAGGAGGATCTCCCTATACCATTTTCCAGCCTGGAATGGTCTTAAGGAGCCAATATTTGCTCACTGGGAAACTGCCACTGCAGCTGCACCCAGAAAAGCTCCCAGTGTCTTCTGCCATCATGGCCAGACCTGGAGCTTTCCTTGACGTCTGCCATGGCTGGTCCTGGAACAGCTTCTGTGGTGGCTGCTGCCAGCTCTACAGGTAAGTGTATTGTCTGCGTGTGCATATAATATGCTGTTTTATTTTGAGGAGCATTTAACCCCCCATGTATTTTTTATGATTTCAGTTTTACTGCAGATTTGAAGGGTCCCCAAGTTTGTAGGAAAATCTGTTTAGTTTTGGTGTGGACCTGATCCATGGATTTAGATATCCACAGATGGGGGGCACCCAATTGCTATTAGATATATAGAGGATGATGATGGTAATTAACATATAGAACCCAGAAAGTTAAAAAATAGGTCTGGCTCCTAAATGGTTGGGCAGCTTGTAAAAATGAAGACAATTCATCAAGGCTAGCTCTACGGGTCATTCCATGGAGGAATTGCATATAGAAAACATGAAAAGATAACATGGTGAATAATAAATTAATATATAAATATTATAATTAATAGATAAATATATACATTAACATATACATTTTCAAACCCTTATTTCCAACATTTAGAAACTTTCGTGCAGGCCTTTAGCGGGGGAAATCTTTGGAGATTTTGTAGCCAATTATCTGCAGAGGCAAACCTGTAGTATATAGCTTTTAAGCACAAAGAAAAAAATCTACAGAAGGATTATTATGAGTTATTTAACAGGGGGGTTGCCTTTCTCAGCAAATCTATGCCCTGTACTGGAGGCTGGTTTGAAACGTTCCTCAAGGAACAGCTAAGCACACCACACTCTGCCTCCTAATGTCATGCATGAGATTGGTGCTGCATGTGTGAGGACCCAATTCCTATCATTATTTTCCTACACAAATAGAAAAGGGGAGGGAAACCACTGTGCAAATCAGGATTACATGCATAGGGGCCTTCGGGGGGGGGAGTGTGTTACTCGTTACTGTAAAAGTGTAGTGAGTATCTATTAATTTCCCATGGGAGTTTGGTGATTATGCAGTGATTCCATATGTCAACTGACAGTAAAACAAAACTATTAATCCTTTCAATATCACAAAGTCCTATGACAGCTTTACAATATCTTATCATCAATTCCATCATATTACATAGGAGAGCTTGAGGTTTCACTTGGCTTGGGAAATAGCAAAACTGGGAACAATTATTTGAACAATAACTAAACCAGTTGTCTGTTTAAGTTGACTGAAACTGAGAACGTGAGAGACACATGATAAACTTGGACAATTACAGGCTTTGAATAATGGATGCAATCCTATATTGTATAATGGAACAGAAAAATATGAAATGTTGATTTTACAGTTATTCTAGTTACAGCGAACAATCAAGCTGCTAAAAGAACAAAATGAAGCAAAGCAAACAAAGTAATGAAGAATGTCCTGGAAGATGGCCCTGAAAAATTCATTCCAAAGACATGAGAGTACACTAAAGGGATCTAGAACAATACTTACATTAGCCAAATGAGCTAACTCTATCTCTAGAAAGGACTCAGATGTTTTGGGTTCAGGCCTTATGGTGACCACAATGATTTTGGAATTAACAACTGTATAATTTCTGGAAAAACAAAACAAAACAGTTAAAAACATTAATTAAAACAACAATTTATGCAATCAAATAATTAGTGTGGACAATCTGACCAAATGTAAGTATAAGAAGGTAAACTTTTTTCTTTTTCTTTAAACACCCCCATCACTTTTATTATAACTACAACTGCCCCCGTTATCAGACAGGGGAAAGATTTACGAGGCAGAGTGCTAACTCAAGCACCATTTCTTGGGTATGATTCATTGATTACAAAAACAAATTGACAATGCAGACTTTCAGGCAAATCTTGAAATGGCTATAAATTCATTTATCTCAAGGTAGACACAATCGGCTTGTTTCACACATAACGAAACATCTTTCTTGCAATGCTGCAGCATGGCTGTTTTACTGACTGCTAACTGAAAATGTTAAGATGGATGACAGCAGGGAGAGTTTCCTCAGAATCAGTTTCCCCCCCGATAAACACTGCAAGAGACGAAAAATTATTTTTCATAAGTGAATAAGAAACGATATTGTTTGAAAATATCTGAAGGATCAATTCACAGACCACTTACGTTCGTATAGCCTTGCTGGATCCCTCTGGAATTTATATTTTTAAGGTCAGGGCTTGACCTACTGCCAATTGGCATAATTAGGAGAGTTAATACCAAGTTCTTGGTCCCTTAGGCTACGATCATCAAACCATTGATATCAAAATAGCTCAATTCATTTTAAAGGTGCTTTCATGTAGAAAGTATTTGACAGATAGCAGCATTAATAAGTTCTCCACTTTTAAAAGACCATGGCCTCCAGCTTTGTTCTTTTTATTACTTTTTGCAATCTATGCCTGAGGGTGATCCCAGGCATTGGCTTCTCAACAGCATTGCTTCAGATTTGGGGAAGGAAGAGGATTGTCTCAGCAAGATTTAATGATTTGTTCTTGGACATTATTTTTGAATTTACTTGCACTCTCCACCAGTGTATTTTGAATACAAACATTTGTTTTTAACTACAGACACCCAGCATGTACAGAATGAACCAACTGGCTAGAAATATAGTCCCTCCTTAGGAATAATGGCACATGGCCTGGAATACAAAGGGGAGGAGGGCCAGTGCCACCCCTGCTCTCTCTCAGTGATTCTTCTGACCCATCCTCAAGTGCCAATAACAATAGCAGACGAAGTGTGAAGTAGGAAGACACTACAAAGACCTGTCACCAGAGAGATAAAACTCTCCTACTGCTTTTGTGCTAGTTTTTGTCCACCTGTGCTGACCCATTTGGACTAGTAGCAATTAGTATGAGGACTGAAATACAGAGCCTGCATAACTGCAAATGTTGTTCATGCAGACATCATTCCTGGCACATCTCTGACAACTGCCCTTACAGCTACTTTACTCTGCAGCCTGATTTATAATTTGTTGTGGTTTTTCCTACAAAACTAAAACATTGTCAACAAACCAAAGCCCATTACTATTTTTGATTCCGCTATAACAAGTATAGAAATTATATTCTAATTTTCAAGGGTGTCTAAATATGTTCTTATGGACTGACTGATATGGAGCCTCTTCCTTTTCAAGGCCTTCCCTGTTCATTGCAAACCCAGTGACTCCTTATAGATCAAGTGGTATGAGGCTCACATGGAGCCCCCTCTTTTTCAAGATCTTCTCCATTCATTTAAATCAGAACCACATCTGTATGCATGCACAAAAAAAGTCCATTCTGTCGAAGTGACAGTAGGAGCCTGCTCACAAGCATACTTGACACTCCAATGAGGAATAGTATTTGCAATTTCAATATTAAATGAATAAAATAGGCCAGCTCCAGTATTTTGAATATACTTTTCTATTAAAAAGCCCCTGTTTCCCCATTTTTGCTGTTGTATAATGAAGAAGTGCAACTCCATACACTTATCCCAAGCAATTGGTTGCAGACAAATGTCAGGCAAAAGTGATAAGTTGTAACACTTAAATATTGCAATATTGCAGCAATACTAGAAATAAACTGCAGTTATCCTATTTTGAACTAGATTTTTCTTCTTTTCAAAAGCACTATAAATTAGTATCCTACACTTCCCTGTGACAGTAAAAGAAAGATCATTACTAAATGATAATGCCAGCAGGCAAATTCTCAGTGCCATATGTAGTGAAGCTGCCATGAAAAGACCATTAATATTATTGTGAAGTGTTGCATCGATTTGTTTCTATGTACTGTGCAGAAAGTGTCTTGGAAAGCAGTTCAAAAATATACAATAAATAGGAGAGTATAGACTGAACTATAACAAATACAGATGTTCTTTTTTGTATTGCAGGAATAAAATTGTCCATTTGGCCTTTAAGGTATTACATCAGTTTTGTTTGTATGTTTCCATACAGAAAATAAAGCACAAGAACCACTGGCTAGAGCTAAACAGAATATATATAAACACACACACACACGTGTGTGTGTGTGTGTGTGTGTGTGTGTATAGAAAGACATTCAATAATACAATAATGGCCAAGGTGTAACCAGAGTACAGAAAAAAGAATAGAGTCCCAAGTTATTTCACTGTGTCTCACTCCAGTTGTATAGTGATGTCATAGTCCAACTTGACGTGCATTCATCATGGAGTGTTACCCAAAATTCTATTCCTCTCCTGATCAGAGAAACCAAATCTTTCAATAGGCAAAGACATGCTACTTTTGACTTCATCATGGAGTGGACATTCAGAAATTCCATCAGTCATAGAAAGCCAAAGAGAAGAGGCATAAGCAGGATGCAAGCTGCCGCGTTTCGAGTATAAAAGTATATTCTTATTCAAAACCAATAGGCTGTAATGGGACCCAATCTCAATAGAAGGCACAAACAAAGCCAGTGTAGTCACTCAAGAAAGACCTTCTATTGTAGTCAATAGAAGGACCTTCTATTGAGATCGGGTTCCATTATAGCCTATTGTTTTTGAATAAAAATATACTTTTGGGGGGGGGGGGGCAGCTGCCCCACCTGACTCTGTGGAGCTGCTTTATGGGCAGCCTGGTGTCCATCTTGAGTGTCAAGGAAGGCAGGGTGCCCACAGTGCCATGACCTGCCTCCGCATTCCCCTGTCATCTCCCTGTGCCTCTTTCTTGGTGATTGCTGTCTTTTGGACCATATGGGCCATGTGGGAGATTGTCGGGGCCCTTAACAACTCTATCAGCTCCCCTATTGTTATGCAGGAATCTGTTCCTTTAAGGAGGCAGGGGATATGCCATGGACAAGGCCCAACAGTCCATAGCCCCACCCCTTCTCATCCTCTGCTGTGATGTCTCAGGGGCTGGGTCCCTGGTCCTGATGGCCTATGATTGGTTCTGTCTGCCCTGTCCATCACAGTCTTGCTGACCTACCTTATGACCTTTATGGGATGCAACAGTGCAGTTGCTGGGGACACTGATGGAATTGCAGCCTGTGCAGCCCTGCTTCTCTGCCTTTTTCCTGCCTCCTGGACTCTGTCAGAACTCTTTAGGGAGCAGATAGTCCTGAATCCACAATAGACTCCCTCAAAAATACATGCACAGAGAATTTTATTGTTTTTGTGTGTTTCAGGGCAGTACCGCTTTAAAAAATTTTTGGGTAGACATTCCAATTTTGGGACATTTTCCCTGTAGCTGCCATTTTCCAGGATGGCAGGTGTGTTAATATCAATATTTAACATTCTCATAGGCTGCACATCTTGGTATCAAAATATATGTTTTTGAGGTCAATGAAGCCAAATACACTATTATATTAGTTGTAGAGACAGCCATGTTTTCTGTAGCTGCTATTTTGCGAAATGGCAGTTCTTTTTCACATTGCTGTAAGATGGTCATATTGGTGTCAAACCATATATTTTGGGGTTGATAAAGCCAAATAGATTATTCCTTTTACTGTAAAAACAAAACAAATTATTATTTTTAAAATTTGTAATATTTGGGGTAATGATAAATCCAGACAAACTGTTATTTTTAAATGTTTGTAATGTTTGTGATACTGGGACAAAATGTAGCAGGAGAATTATTACAGTATGGAAGACTATTTATTCTGCCGCCTTAAATGATAATGAACATAATATTACAGTGCCTGTTTGATATTTAAAATGCTTACATACTGGTTAAACTCTCATTCTTAGAAATCAGGATGTGATTGAGGCTGGGTAGGGCAGCCATGAAGGAGCTGGAAAAGATTCTTAAAATTAGGATGTTTCGCTGGCAACCAGGATCAAGTTAATTCATGCCATAGTACTCCCCATTACTATGTATGGGTGTGAAAGTCAGACAACGAAAAAAACCGACAGGAAGAAAGTTGATTCATTTGGAATGTGGTGTGAAGGAGAGCTTTATGGCTACCCAGGGGTCATTTTGTAGAAATAGAGCTGCCGGAGATCATTAGCATAACTCATTAGCATATGCCACACCCCCTGACATCACCGGAAGTGTGTCTCAGGGGACTCCGGGCCTCCCCCAGCCCTGAGCTGCAGCGCTCCCGCAGTGGCACCTTTAAGACCAACAAAGGTTTATTCACGGTATGAGCTTTCGTGTGCAAGGCACACTAAATGTGTCTTGCACACGAAAGCTCATACTCTGAATAAACCTTTGTCATTCTTAAAGGTGCCACTGGATACTGACTTTGAGGGCCAGAGGTCTGATTGAGCGTTCTTCGGTGTTACGAAACCTCTTCGGCTATTTCCATAAAATGGGAGAGGGCGGGGGAGAAAGAAAACCGAGCAGCCGAACTCATGCTCCCCCCCACTTCCCGTTCGGAAATTTTGGCCATTGGGTCTAAACCGTTTCTGTGAAGCGGGTGGTGTTATGTCTCGCCCCCCCCACCCGGTGTTTGTGTATTTTTAATGGACTCCTTTGCTCAGAGCAGCTTTTCTCTGTGTGTGTCTGGAGGGGGGAGGGGTCTCCACCGTTAAATCACACTCAGTCCATTTCCACTCAACTGAGGCCTGACCTTTTGGCGGCTTCTGTGCCAAGATGCGGGAGAAGGATGAGCGAGAGATGCCGAATCGCCGTGATCCATAGCCAGTTCTTCTCTC